AATAGGCATGGGCCCAGCAAGACAGCTTGCTGACTTCAAATCTTCCATGGAAAGAACCTTGTAAATGTGTGTGCGTGTGTGTGTGTGTGTGTGTTTTAGAAGAAATTAACTCAACTGAGGTTAAAAGGGATGCGCAGGAAACCTTGTAAAGCTTAAGATCCTGGAGCTGTCGGTTTTTCAAGTGGGGGTGGTGGTGGTTTGGGTAAGCGGGACCAGACGTTAAATGCTGGGAGGATGAAACGGAGAAAGGCCCGGGCAGAATGTGGAAATGCAGCTGAAATTAAGGAAAGAGGGTAAAACTCTAAAATGCGGGTAGTCCTCGGCTTGCAACAGTTCGTTTAGTGACCGTTCGAAGTTACAACGGCACTGAAGAAAGCGGCTTGGGACCGCGTTTCACACTTACAACTGCTGGCAGCACGTCAATGGTCACGTGATCGAAATTCGGACCGCTTGACAACTGACTCATATTTATGATGGTTCCGGGATCATGGGATCCCCTGTTGTGACCTTCTGACCAGCAAAGCCAATGGGGAAGCCGGATTCATTTAACGACTGTGTGACTAACTTATCAACTGAAAGGATTCCCTTAACTGTGGCAAGCAAGGTTACCAAACGGGGCAAAAATCACACGACAACTGTCGTGCTTAGCAACAGAAATGCTGGGCTCGACGGCGGTCGCAAGTCGAGGACCGTCTGTGCTAGCAAAGCTGCTGCCTGTGAATCCAAGCATGTTCCAAGGAGCTGGAACCAAATAAGGCTTGGAGTTTTCGTTCTGTGTTTCTCAGTAGGAGCCAGAAATTTTAAGACGCCGGTTTCCTTTCTTAAAACATTGCAATTATGGGGTTGAAAGTGACAATCAACAGCTTATTAGCCCATGGAGGCGGGAAAAAGGTGCAAAAGAGGTTTGATAAAACAACAAACCACTTCCTTAGATGGCACAAGGCTACTTCCAGTTGTTTCCCCCATTAACCCAACATTGTCTGTTAAGATCTTGGTTAGAAACCGATCCTACGAGGGGAGAAGCAGCCTTCATTCTAGGTGATGAGCTGGTTCCTTCTGCGTGTTTGTAAAATACCAGATTCAGAACTATCGCAGCTTTAAGACTTGTGGACTTCAACTCCCAGAATTCCCCAGCCAGCTGGGAGTTAAAGTCCACACTTTTTAATGTTGCTAAGTGTTTCCATCAGTGCCACCTGCCCTAATATTTGTGAACCAAAGACCCTCAAGAATATTGGAAGAAAAATCCAGCTGTTTGGGTATCAAGCCCGCTCCCCACTCTGGGGTGCAGTCAGCCAGATAGCGTTGGCCAAGGTGACCGATGGATTTTTATGCTCAGAAACTTGGGCCCAAGGCCTGACAGCTGCTCCGTGGCTCCTGTTTCGTGCATTTGGGGTTTTGTAACTTGCAAAAAAAGAGGCAACAGTGAAGTTTTGTTTTTTTTCTGCCCTGGCATCCAGATTTCGTTGGATGCTTCAGAAAAAGACGGATGGGGCGTGTTGGATTTGGAAAAGCCTTGCAGGTGACAGAACGGGAGAATTAGGCAAGCTTAAATCCTACAAGTGTAATTGAAGTTGGCTGCATAAACATTCCTTATCCTTGATGCTGGTTTGGGTACCATCCCCACAAAATGTCTCCAAAGAAGTAGCTAGCAAAACTACCCTGAGCATTTATTGGTGGGGAAGGGTTTTGATTTTGGGCTTACAGGTAGTCCTCCTTTCATCTCGTGACTGTTCGAAGTTAAAAACAGCGCCGAAAAAAGGGGACTTGCGACAGTTTTTCCACACTTATTGCAGCATCCTCACGGTCACGGGATCAAAATTCAGACGCTGGCAACTGACTCGTATTTATGACGGTTGCCATGCCCCTTCTGTGACCTTCTGACAAGCAAAGTCAATGGAGGAGCCGGATTCATTTAACAATGGTGTGATTGATTTAACGCCTGCAGGGATCCACCTAACAGATGCAGCCAAAAAAAAAAATCGTAAAAATTTATGCTGCTAAGTGAGAAATTTGTTAAATGAGCATCACCCCGCTCATTTAAGAAATTTCTCACTTAGCAGCATAAATTTTGGACTCAACTGTGGTCGTAAATCGAGACCTACCGGTATATCTGAAGGGTTAGCATGCCTGGGAGTTTTGGAGAAAACGCAATCACGCAGAGGCTGAGCAAAAGCACTTCTGAATTTGGAAGTTCGGAGTGCTTTTTCCGGAAAGGGAAATAGCACTGTGCCCCCCAAAAAAGACTAAGGTTTTTTTTTCTTTTCCAGTTCCCCATTTTTATCAGCCAGGACCTACAGCTCCTTCCTTGGTTGCCTTCTCTTCCTGCCCCAGAATGAAACAGGGCCATAAAGCAGACCAATTTACTGGCCTTAATTTGATCAGCTACATAAACTCCCTAATATAAACTACCAGGGTATCAAGAAGCTACAGGCCGGAGCTGTGTTAAAAGCGTTAAAGTGACAGAAACCTCTTTTCGTATGCAAGTGGTGGATGGAGACCTGACACACCTGGGCGTTTTAAAGCCCCTGTGCCGAATCCCCCCCCCCTTTGGCTATTCCTGGCCAGCCTGCATGAGACCAACCAGAAATCGGAAATCACATGTAAATAAATATATGCCATGTACGCAATAGCCAGAATAGGGAGTTCTTGGCTTAGAAACCACGACGTTTCCGTTGCTAAGCAAGGCAGTTGTTAAGCGAATTTCACCCTCTTTTACAACCTTTCTTGCCCCGGTTGTTAAGGGAATCACTAGAGTTGTTCAGTTAGTAACTTAGTTGTTAAGTGAATCTGGCTTCCCCCGTTGACTTTGCTTGGTCAGATGGTCGCAAAAGGGGATCACGTGACCCTGGGACTCTGCAACCATCATAAGTGTGAGTCAGTGGCCAAGGGTCTCGTAAACATGGGGATGCCACAATGGTCCTAAGTGTGAAAATTGATCGGTAGGTCACTTTTTTCAGTGCCATGGTAACATCAGCCGGTAAATGAATGGACGTAAGTCAAGGACTACCTGTCTAAAAAAACAGATGCCCTCCTGACAGATCGGACCAGTGGTGGGATTTAAATATTTTTACTACCAGTTCTGTGGGCGTGGCTTGGTGGGCGTGGCAGGGGAAGGATACTGCAAAATCTCCAGTCAGAGGTGCGATTTGCCGGTTCTCCGAACTACACGAAATTTCCGCTACCGGTTCTCCAGAACTGGTCAGAACCTGCTGAATACCCACCTCTGGGTTGGACTCTGGAGAAGTTGAGCCTGGATCCTCCGGATGGCCTGGAAACTCATTCTAGGGACTTACAAGTGTCCTGCAGATTTGCTGACCTTTTGTGGGTAGAGGGAGGGACGTCTTTGATTAAACTCCCAATTACATCCCCACCACCACACACACACACACACACACCTGCAAAGGAAGCATTCGTGCTGCATAAGCAGTCTGAAAAAGGTGTTTGGGGTCTCCGGAAGGTCGGGCACCGAACAGGGTGAGCGAGATGGCAGGCGGGGACGCGGGTTCCAATTACACCTATTGTCTTGCGAGGTGTGCATTTACCGAATCAGCGCCCCTTTGTTCCAGCCGCCTCTGAATGATAGGCAGGCTCTTCGTTTCCCTGCGCTGAGACAACCCAAGCAGGGGGGGGGGGGGGGGGGGGGGAAATCTTGCCTCAAATTGAATGCTTGGCATGAGAGTGTGTGTCTGTGTGTGTGTGAGAGAGAGAGTGGGGGGGAGGGAGGGAAGGAGGGAGGGAGGGAGAGAAAGAGAACGAGAACTGGTTGAATTCAGTTTTAATTTGAGTGTCTTCATTCAGGGAAAGGGCTGGGGTGTTTCCATCATGCCAAGCCAGGGTTTGCATGGATATACTTATTTTTAAAATTTACCAGCCCGCCCATCTTGCCATGCGGTAACTCTGGGCGACTCACGTGATTAAAAAGAGAAAAACCTCATTGTTTATAATGATATAAATGCAATGCTATAAACACTATAAAATCAACTTAGCTAAAAAGATGGGGAGGGAGTATGAGGAGAAGGAGGGGAGAGGGTGGGGGTCTGTTGTTAATCAATCGATCACCAGCGTGAAGTCCCTTCGTTGGCACCCCAAGCCAACGGGCAGAGCCAGGACTTTTAAGCTCTCTCTGAGGGTTGGAGCTGATCTCCTTTAATAACGGTTCCCTGAAGAGCGTGAAATAGGAATTGCTTCTCTCGCATCTCAGGGCCTGGGTTCCCACAACCTGCAGGGTGCCTAAGCACAATGCGTGAACCCACCTAGAGCAGGGGTCCCCGGGCCGCAGCCCACTATGGGGCCTTGACTTGTCCAGAACCGAGCCAGAGAAGGGACGGGTGATTGGCATGCGTATGTGGCCACTGCTTGTGCAGATGGACCCTGCGTGCGTGGGCGTGTGGGCTCACCACGCGCACAGACCCATCCCCTCTCTCCCCACCGGTCCACAAGGCCAGAAAGGTTGGGGAACTCTGAGCTACGGGATTCAGGTGCTCAGTTGGACAAGGAAGAGAACCGTTAGGTGTCAGGGCTCTGACAATACACGCCCATTCAAATCGTAAGTCTCTAGCCGCATCTCTCAGAGTAAAAAAAAAAATTAATAGGAGTGACCGTGTCGGCATTATCTGGATGCAGCTGACTCTAAGACACATCATTCATTTCCCCCTTGACCCTGGTCTTCCCCCGCCCCCCACCCTGGATCTATATTCTCCAATGGGACACATCCATAGCCAAGAGACATCAATCATGCTTGCCAGTAATAATCTTGCATGCCAACAGCTTCAGCTGCCTAGCAATTGTCTGAAGCATTTAAGGAATGCGCTACTTTCCCCTCTCCCTTTCTGCTGGCAACTAAAAAGACCAAAGAAGTATCTTTTAGTTGAAATTAGGTATTCGTGTTTCCCATCTTCCCCGAGGTCTCCAAAACTCAATCTAGGCTAAAATGTACAAACTTGACTTGTTCTGCAGGTCCAAAAGGCTTCACCCTGGGACGGCCAAAGGCACCGGGCACCATGGCGACGGCGTCGCCGACAGCCACCGTGGTGACCGCCACCGTGGTAACCACGGCGGCCGCCATGGACTTGCGCGACTGGATCTTCCTCTGCTATGGGCTGGTGGCCTTTTTGAGTGAGGTGATTGACAGCACGACCTGCCCCTCCGTCTGCCGGTGCGACAACGGTTTCATCTACTGCAATGACCGGGGCCTCACCTCCATCCCGACTGACATCCCGGATGATGCCACCACCCTCTACCTGCAGAATAACCAGATCAATAACGCGGGGATCCCTTCTAGTTTGAAGAAGAAACTCAACGTTCAGGTGAGCCGGATAAGGTAGAGAAGGAGGGGTCCTTGGTGCTCTCTGAGCTTAGTGGTTTTCCTGCAGATGTTTCATGAGCCAACTAGTAACAACATCATTGCTAGAAGGGAATGGAGTTAATGGAAAGGAGGAGGAGGAGGAGGATTGTGGGTTCCCAGTGCTCTCTGAGCTTGGTTGTTTACTTGCAGACATTTCATGACCCAACTAGGTAACATCATCAATGCTGAATGGAGTGGGATTTGCTCTGGTTTTGTATATTAATGGCCCTGACAGTTGTGGTGGTGGTGGTGGTCTTTCTAGTTGCCAGAAAGGGAGGGGTGAAAGGGGAAAGTAATGCATTCCTTAAATGCTTCAGACAATTGATAGGCAGCCAAAGCTGTTGGCGCAGAAGATTATTACTGGCGAGCATGACTCTTGGCTATGGATGTGTCCCATTGGAGAATATACATCCAAGGGTGGGGGGGAAGACCAAGGCCAAGGAAGAAATAAATGATGTGTCTCAAGAGTCAGCTGCACCCAGGTAACACCAACATAGACACTCCTAATAAATTAATTGTTGTTTACTCTGAGAGTTGAGTGTAGAGACTCATGATTTGAATGGGGGTGGATTTGTCAGAGCCCTGACAGGTGGGATGTTCTTGGTTCCATTATTAGGCTGTTGTTTACTGTTAGCTTATTTGTCTAAGTTGGTCGTTTCTTGATTGGGATATTGGTGGTATTTTTATTGGGGTCCGTTAATCTCATGAGCAGAGACTAAAACCAAGATTAACACTGGACCAACCATCAGGAAGCAGTTCTCAAGAGTGGAAAGACAGCATGCTAGAGGCCTTCCTCTCTTGTCCTCTGCAAATTTTACTTCTAAAAGCAAGGTTAGCTTTGGACAATCTAGAACCCTGCTTTTTTCTAGCTCAGGAACCCTAAGTCAGGTTTTCTAAATTGGGCACCCTAGAACTTCCTCCCTTTCCGCCCTGCTAAATGTCCGATTCCTCTTGATTCCTGGCAGGTCATCTACCTCTACGAAAATGATCTGGACGAGTTTCCCATCAACCTGCCCCGCTCGCTGAAGGAACTGCATCTGCAGGACAACAACGTCCGTACCATCGCCCGGGATTCCCTGGCCAGGATCCCTCTGCTCGAGAAGCTGCACCTGGATGACAACTCGGTCTCCACCGTCAGCATCGAAGACGACGCCTTCGCCGACAGCACCCGCCTCAAGCTGCTCTTCCTCTCCCGCAACCATCTCAGCAGCATCCCTTCCGGGCTGCCGCGAACCCTGGAGGAGCTTCGCCTGGACGACAACCGCATCTCCACCATTCCCCTCCACGCCTTCAAAGGCCTCAACAGCTTGCGGCGTTTGGTGCTGGACGGCAACCTGCTCGCCAACCAGCGCATTGCGGACGACACGTTCAGCCGCCTGCAGAACCTCAGCGAGCTCTCGCTGGTACGCAACTCCCTGGCGGCCCCGCCGCTCAACCTGCCCAGCGCCCACCTGCAGAAGCTGTACCTGCAGGACAACGCCATCAGCCACATCCCGTACAACACCCTTTCCAAGATGCGGGAGCTGGAGAAGCTTGACCTGTCCAACAACAACCTGACCACCCTGCCCAAGGGACTCTTTGATGACCTGGACAGCCTCTCCCAGCTCCTGCTGAGGAACAACCCGTGGTACTGCAGCTGTAACCTCATGTGGCTGAGGGACTGGGTCAAGGCCCGAGCGGCCGTGGTCAACGTCAGAGGACTGATGTGCCAAGGGCCTGACCGGGTTAGAGGGATGGCCATCAAAGACATCACCAACGAGATGGACGAGTGCTTTGAAGTCGGCCAGCAGAGCAACTCCGCGGTGGTGGCCAAAACGACAGCCAGCAACGCTGCCGTCACCACCCCGCAGGGCTCCCTCTTTACCCTCAAAGCCAAACGCCCGGGCATCCAGCTGCCCGATTCGAACATCGACTATCCGATGGCCACCGGGTCAGGAGCCAAAACACTTGTGCTGAATGTCAAGCCGCTGACCGCCGACAGCATCCGTATCAGCTGGAAGGCATCCCTCCCGGCGGCCTCTTTCCGCCTCAGCTGGTTGCGCCTAGGCCACAGTCCAGCCGTCGGCTCCATCACCGAGACCCTAGTGCAAGGCGACAAGACTGAGTACCTCCTGACCGCCCTGGAGCCCAAATCCACCTACATCATCTGCATGGTCACCATGGAGACGGGCAACACCTACATCCCCGACGAGAGCCCCGTGTGCGCCAAAGCCGAGACCGCCGATGTGTACAGTCCCACCACCACCCTCAACCACGAGCAAAACCTGGACCCCATGGCTGGGCTGCCCCTGGCGGGGATCATCGGTGGGGCGGTGGCCTTGGTTTTCCTCTTCCTGGTCCTGGCCGCCATTTGCTGGTACGTCCACCGGACCGGGGAGCTGCTGACGCACGAGCGAGGCATCCGGAAGAAGGACGACTACATGGAGTCGGGTACCAAGAAAGACAACTCCATCTTGGAGATCCGAGGGCCCGGCTTGCAGATGATCCCCATCAACCCTCACCGGGCGAAGGAAGAGTACGTCATCCACACCATATTCCCTTCCAACGGAACCAGCCTTTACAAAAGTACCCACACAATTGGCTACGGCACAACTCGGGGGTACAGAGAAGGGGGCATCCCAGATGTAGACTACGCCTATACATGATGCAAAGGTTTTCCCCTCCTTCCGGATGCATCGTGTCGCCCTTCCCCACCCCCGCGCCCACATTTCCACACCCCCCCGTTTTTACCCCCTCCCCAATCTCTCTCTCTCATACACACACACACACACACACACACGCACACATATACAGACGCACATGCACACAGGTTTGGGCTTGGATTGGTTCTTTGGTTGGGTGGTTTCAACTTTTTTTTTTTTTGCCGAGAAGGAAGAGAAACGGCAAAACGCGGACTTATATTTTCCGAGCAGAACCCGCTGGAACCGAAGGGCGGGCGGGCGGGGGGAAGGGAAGCGAATTTTACAAACCAACCTTATTTTGTAGGGGAGGGGAAGGAAAGCAAAACCCACACAGCGTACACAAAACCCAAGTTTTGAAAAGTAGATACGGAGGGGACAAAAGACCTAATTTATATTTAATATGCCAGATTTAAAACAAGAAAAAAAAAAAAGCAAACAAATGAAAAAGGAGCGATCGGGAGGAACAATCGTGAACGAACGTTCAGTTTTATGGGGGTTTGTGGTGGGCTTTTTCCCTGCGAGGGGGGTAGAAGGGAACAGGGGAAGATCTAGAGGAAGGCAGAAATGACACTGAGGATCCAAAAAAAAACAAAAACGCTACCTGTTTATCTTTCTTCCTGTATAAATCTTCTATTTTGTTCAGGGGTTAGATTATAAAAAGAAAAGAAAAGAAAACTCTGTCGCGATGGCTAAACTGTCCAACTGTCCTGGAGGATGTGTGGGAAGATCCCTTTTGTTTTGCACCCCGTAATTCTGCTTTCCTTACAGGTTCTGGATTTATTGTGGAAAATTGAGAAACAATACAGTTCGGGGAAGGTTCCCCCCCTTTTTTTCCTTTGGGGGATCCTGCAAAGTTACTCTTTGTCACAACTCGAGTCAATGCAACCTTGACTCCATCGTTACCTCCTCATCCAGCTATTTCTTGGGACAGTTCCTCGAGACGATTCTCTCCATAGGAATAAACTCACCGTGTAGCTCTCGAGTTTTTAGCAAACAAAACAAAAACAAAAAAGAAAGCGATGTGTGAAGATGGGACAGGCCAGCAGCGTCTTCCAACCAGCAAGATAATCAAACCTTCCATGGTGGGGGTGAGGGGAGGAGGAGGGCCTCTGAATTCCCAACGAATCTCAGGTTCACACATGAATGGTTTTTAAGCTGTTAAGGAAGGGGGAGAGAAAGTGTGGTTTTTTGTGGCCCAAAGCCTTTGGCATTAGCTCAAAAGACCAGCCAGGTGGTTCTCGTTGCAATTTCCCAGGATGGTTCAAAGTCCCGCTCTTAAACCTCAGTATTCGCTAACTTGGGGGAAGAATTTAAAAAGTCCTAATTGTAGATGCCGACAGGTGCGCCGTGATCTCCAGGCCACCTCGACGCAAGGATCCAGTCTCTTCAATCCAACTTGGGACTCGTCAAACCGACCGTACAGCCTTCGTCCTACTTTTGAAGTTCTCGCGTTAGGAGGAGGAGCTTCAGGCAAAGGGCAACCTCGCGTGGCTGCAAATGTCCTCCGTTGTACCACCCAATTTGGACCTCTCTCGCATTCAGGGCAGGGGCTTGTTTCTATCCGGAGGCTCAAAAAAATGCAGAATTACTGTAGCCCAAAATCAGGAGGCTGAAAAGCCAGTTAGGCTGAAAACAGCTGGCTGTCTTGGGGAGGGGGTGAGGAACTGCTTTATAACGCGGCTGCAGTGAGGATCACGCTGGAATTGGCGAAGTGGAGACCAGTTGATTAAAGAACAATCCAAGATTCAGAGTTATCGGTCAACACTTAACGGAATAAGGGAAGGGACCTTGGAGGTCTTCTAGTCCAACTCCCCTGCTCAAGCAGGAAACCCTGGACCAGATCTGGGTCTCCAAAGTTGGCAACTTTAAGACTTATGGACTTCAACTCCTAGAATTCTGGGAGTTGAAGTCCACAAGTCTTAAAGTTGCCGTGTTTGGAGGCCTCTGTCGTAGACCAGGGGTCTCCAAAGTTGGCCACTTTAAGCTTGGAGGACTTCAACTCCCAGAATTCCCCAGCCAGCTTTGCTGGCCAACGTTTGGAGACCCCTGCCCTAGAACATTTCAGATAAATACACCATTTCAGACAAAGTGGCCACTGAAGTAGGACAAAGTACTCGACCTGTTGGATTTTGTGCCATCGTTGACGGGCTGATCTCCAAGAATGGGCCGTGTGCATGTGCAAAACTCTGGAGTTTGGTCTTCTAGCATCGCTGGGGAAGCTTTTTAGTTGAGCAGAGAGGGCCAAGGGCAACGAAGAAGAAGAGCATGGAAAGCCAAGGCTGAAACTGGCTGATGGACGGCAGGTCTGAGTCACTGTTGTAGGACCTGACCTTGGTTCTGACAAAGGCCCAAGATGGCCTTTCCTGACCTAAAGGTAGTCCCCGACTTACGACCACGGTGGAGCCCAAAATTTATGTCCACGGAGTGAGACATGCGTCGAGGGAGGTTTTGCTCCATTTCATGACTTTTCTTGCCGCCGCTGTTAAGGGAGTCGCTGCAGGTGTTAAGTTGGGGACTGAACCTGGCTTCCCTGTTGACTTGGCTGGTCAAAGAGGCCGCAAAAGGGGTTCCTGTGACCCCAGGACAGTGCAACTATCGTAAATACAGTTGCCAAGCATCTGAATTTTGATCACATGACTGTGGGGACGCTAAAACAGTCATAAGTGTGAAAAATGGTCCTTAAATCACTTTTTTTTAATCAGTGCCGTTGTAATTTTGAACAGTCACTAAATGAACTGTCGTAAGTCGAGGATGACTTATATTACCTCCAGATGTTTAGGGTGGGACTTCTCCGCATCCCTAGCACTCCTGGCTAAATTCCCGAGATGTGACCCAACGTATGTAGGTGCTTAGGAGTGGCTGGTAGAGTTTGCCGTAGGGTAGAAAGGACAGATAGAGAAACCCAAGCGAGAGGTGGCGATTTCGGATGACAGACAAACACTGCAGTCTCATTGAAAAGGGAACCTTTTGCCATCTCCCCCCCCCCCACTGAAAAAAAAATAATGCAATGCATCAATGAGACTTGGCAGAGAAAAATACCAAGGACTCCCGTTGAAATCAAAGACCCCCATGGAAAGGCAAGACGGCTGTAGAGTTTCCAGCCAAGTGTTGGGGCAAAAGTAGACATACATCCTGCCGATCCTCACTCGTTTTTCTCCTGGAAATGAGTAGCACAAAAGCAGTTTCCAGGAAGACTTGGGTTGAAGGGCCTGTCAGTCTTCCCATGGAGTTGACTCCGTGTCCATGGGTGGCGGCATCTAACCAGCTTGCAAAAGGTGGATCTAAAATAATCGGCACTCCCCTGACAAATTACGTCCAATTAAGGTGTCATTTAAATACATGTAGCCTTGCACGCATTATTGGGGGGTGGGGGGGAGGAAGAGGGAACACCCTTGCATGAATACGAGGCTGCAAATTTCCCACCCCCTTCAAATTTCAGTCAGTAGAATTAAGTAGCTAAGCGGGGGACCAAGACGCAATAAAATCTGGATTGGAATGGAAATTTTTCCCTTGAGAATTCCCTTCGTCACAAGGCTCCCCTGACAGGCTGATATTCCCAAATAGTGACAATTGTTCTGGGGGGGGGTGAGGAAAAAAACCCCATCACAACAAAAATGTTAAGCAGCATGTGAAAATTTTAAAGTGACATGGAAGGGAAGGGAAGAAAACCCCGTAAAAATTCAACTGATCAGAGCAAGCATTTGGGCCCCATCTGCTCCTCAGGGGAGAAGGCATCTCTGAATCCCTCAATCACAACTGCCCACCTTCAGGAAATGAGGAGTGGTCCCAAGGCAACTAGCTGGTTTCCCCTCTCAATTTGCAATGCTCTGTGTATGACTAGGACAGGAGCCTCCAAACTTGGCAATTTTAAGACTTGCGGACTTCAACGTCCAGAATTCTCCACCCAGCTGGGGAATTCCGGGCGTTGAAGTCCGCAAGTCTTAAAGTTACCAAGTTTGAAGAGCCCTGATAGGACGCCAATGCGCTCCTGGTAGTTTATAATACAGACTGTTCCTTCTGCAATTTTTATTTCCAAAGTCAACTGGGCTTTTCTTGTTTGTTTTTTTTCTTTTCTTTGAAAAACGTTTTGCTTTTCATCCAAGAAGTTCTAGCTGGTGGGGAATGGAAGGGTTTATATATATATATATATTTGGCAGTCATTTGTTCGTTATATAGCTCCAGGAGAGAGCTAAGCACCAACCTTCAGAGTGCTAGCGACCAGAGGACTGCAAACTTGGATGAGAAGACAAATGTTTCCAAAGGAACCAAACCCAAGAAAGTCTGGTTGCCTTTGGGGGGGGGGGGGGGGGCGCACCTGGGGGACAAGCATGACTCAAATCAGGGGCCTCCAACCTTGACCCCTTTAAGATGGGCGGACTTCAACTCCCAGAATTCCCCAGGCACAACTCTGGCTGGGGAATTCTGGGAGTTGAAGTCCGCCTACCTTAAAGGGGCCAGGACTATTGAGAACTACTGCTGTAAAAGACGGGTAGCCATTCACTGCCTTGGCAAGCTCACTGATTCGGTTTTCGAAATGCACTTCGTTAGCAGCACCCCAAAATAATGTGGGTGAAAAGGAAGGGAAGTCTATTGGAAGAAGAGGGCCTAGTTTTAAAACACCCTCAGTGAGGAAAAGACACAAACAAGCTGGGGAGGGAAGAGGGGGGGAGAAGAAAACTGCTCCAGGCTAACTAATATTTATCCGCTAAACACCGCTTTGCAGAATCAAGGCCTGGGACCCAAGGTGCCGCTGTCACCTCCTGCGAAGTGTGATTTTTATTAAGTGCTTAACTCCATACCCAGCACTTCACAAACCGAGATAATGTGAGTAGGCTCTCGGGGAGCTGGTGTTTAGCACAAGGCAAAGTCGAAATAAAATAAAAACAAAAAACAACACGCACACACACACACACACACACAAAACCCATGCTCTCCCCTCCCCCCCAAAAAAAATGCCTCTTCCCCATCTCTCATTAATTCAGGTGATTCGACGGGCGCCGGTATATGCCGGTGTTG